TAATTTTTGTGGAAACACAAAGTTTCAAAATATGATATCTCATTTAAAGATAAAGCTCAATAGTTGAAATTTTCTCCAATGATTAATTACACATAATAGAATCATTTAATCTATAGATTTTTTATTATCTTTTATGCTTTTTCCCATTGACTTTTGACTTTTAAATATTTTCAAGTTTTAAATGTTTTAAACTTTTTAAACATTATCCACTTTTAAATGTTTTTAACTTTTGAACATTTTAAACTTTTAAAAATTTTCAACTTTTAACTAAAAGTGGAAAATTAGTTTTAAAACTATTAATTGAAAAAAATTCTATGAAAAACTATTAATGAAATTCATTGTGGTCATAGAATATTGAAATATATATCTTTTTCAATAACTTTAACAATATATATTTATTACAAATAAGAATATAGCGTAATAGTAAATAATAAAGTAATTAAAAAAAAAAAGAATAAAAATTTAGAATAAAAATTTCTCAACTTGTTCAAAAAAACTTTGATCAAAATCTGACAATTTAATTACATATTATAAATTATTTTGGCATAATTTTTTTTCCTATATCATGGAATTCCAAATTTAACTTTGGTTTTGAATATTAAACTACTAATTTATTGGATAGCTTGAAAAAAGAAAATAGACCGTTTTTAAATAGTCAAAAGTTTTGCAATAAACCATATTAGACAAAACTTTAATGTCAGATTTTTAGTATTTGCTCCTAATTAAAATTGTTTGTTAATTTAAAGGCAAATATGTAAATGTTTTTAGTTTTTACTTTTATCAGCGGGAGGCAAAAATTCTGCCTCCAATTTGGTGGCTGCAACCAGCTTGAAATTAGAAACCACTGGAGACAGCCTCCAAGTTAAAATTTTTTTTTAAAGGCGGTATTTAATAGCTTTTGCCTTCTAAACATAATGGCTTTGATCTTCTAAACATTTTGCCTCAAAACAAACTAGCTGTGTATGCCTTTTTTTTTTTTTTTTTTTTTAATTATTCACCTCCCCAAGGCCCGAGGGGGCCTCTACAGTCGAGGAGGCTACTTGTTTTTTTTTTTTTTTTTTGATGTAAATTGTGGTACAACCCTCTCTTAACTCTCTAACTCCGAAACACAAACCTTGACAAGCAAGACCGCTACGCGGAGAAATTAAATTGAGTGCAGTACTTCCAGGGACGTGGTGGGAGTCGAACTCTGAACCGCTCGCTTACAAAGCAAGCGCTCTTACCACTACACCACTGAAAGGTGGAAGCTAGAAAATTTTGCTTCCAAAAATATTTTGGCAGGCTGCTGCCTCCCAAAAATCTACCAGTTTTTGTTTCCCTAAAAAATCGGTCTTTGTGCAGAATGTTAACTTGCCACTGGAAAGCATTATCAACTCTGCTCCAATCATTTTGAAACTGCGGGACTTTTTCTTTATCAGAGTAATACCAATATCTGATACTTTGATTGAGCAAATTTTAAAATCCACCAGTAAAAAAATATACTAAAACTATTTGTGGATGGTACAAAGTTTAAATTTTGTTAATGTTATTTTTTTAATAACTTTTTAAAATACATATTTGAATTAACTTTTTTAAATAAAAAATGAATTAAAATATGTAAATTTTGTCTGTTACTATTTTTGCACTTGTAAGTTTATTGTTTTGTTTTTCATTAAAGAGATTCCCAACAAGTTATGTTTCTTTTGTAAATAAACGTTAGTAAATAAGTTATAAGTTATTGATTTCTTGCTAAATCCCCAAAATTCGGTTTTAAGATTTTATTAGCAGAACTTGTTTTTAACAAAATCAGTATAATTTTTAAATTTATTTATATTTATGGCAATAATATTAGTTTTGTTTTTAAAATGAAATAAATATAAGTTATAATTTTTAAAGTGTTTACTTACAGATCCTGTTACTTTTATTCAGTTATTATATGTTTTATAAAAAGTTTTATATAAAGGCATTCTTTTACATAAAAATTAATTGTGAAAAGGAAAACCCAATAACTCGAGTTAAAGTTATTTGAAAAAACTTTTTGTATTGACATCATTTATTAACTACAAAAGCACATTATTCGGACCAGTATTTCCATTAACTTTATAATTTTTAACACCATTTTTTATCACCAAAAAAATGGTGTTAAAAATGATGAAGTTTTTTTCATATCTTGATAATTATCATTTTTATATCTCGATAAATAACTTGTTCTGGAAAGTTTAATTAACATGAAACTTATTTTTTAAAGATATTTATGATAAGCACACAACTTGTCTTGGCATTTAAGATTTTACTTTAAATTTTGCAATATGATAAATTAACTTGTTCGTTGAAACATTGTTCATAGTTTTTAATAAGCTGAGAAACAATTTGAAGGTTAAAAATATTTCTGGATTTTACAATTCACCATTATTTAGTTTGCATGTTTATTGTATACCAACAATCATTTAAACATTTTGGAAAATTTATATTTAAAAGCAGTTCACACGATTCAAATAGATCAAAGTATCAAGATCGGTCTTTTAAAGTTTAATTCCAAATGATTTGTTTTTGGTTCTAGTTTTCTCTCAAATCTTTTGCACAAAAAATTTTTTTTTTATAGTTTTACATTTATAAAATATAAAAATATATTATATTATTATTTTTATTATTGTTATTTTATTATTTTATGTTATTCTTCTAATCAACGCCAAGAAGGCCACAACAGTCATGAAGGCTACTTTATTGTGATTACAACCCTCTCTCAACTCTTCAACTCTAAAACAAGAACCTTGACAAACAAGGCTGCTGCGCAAAGTACTGCCAAGGACATGATAATGATTGCAATTCAGAGCTTCTCTATTATGAAGTGAGCAATCTACCACTACACCACTATTGCATAATTATTCCTGCTCAAGATTATAACCCATAATTTAAAAAACTCATTTCTATGATTGTCTAAAATTAAATTTTCTTGTTTTGTAATTAATATTTTATAAATAATAAATTTCTTATATAAATGTTACTTATAAACTCTCAGTAAATTATTCACATTTCATAAAAAAGCCACAAAAAATTTCTTTCTTTAATTTACCATGAACTTTGAAAATTAATTCTTTTCAGAAACTAAAAAATAAAGGCACCTATTAATTTTTTATTATTCTATGGTAACTAATATTTTATATATTTTGGTCTGCTGTTTTGTATGTTTTGCCTTTTGTGGCAAAATCTAGAAGAATTTTTTTTAAAAACAAAACAATCTAATTTACTACTAACTATGCTGTAATCACTATCAAGTTTGTAGTTACTAGAAAGCAAAGAATAGTGTTAAAAAGCAAGGAAACAGTTGCCAAAAAACTTGAAAAGATGTAGGTTGTATGAGTCAGGAAATCTTGCAAAGAAAAAACTAGATAAATAAAAGTTTTTATAGCATGGCAGGACAGCTACAGTAAAAGAATGCAACTTTGCTGAATGACAAGTTAATAGATAAAGCTGGTTCAACTACATTTACAATATGTTTTTGGACCTTGTCTTGGAGAAAAAGAGAATCATTAGAACTAACCCAAATATGACAACTCAAGGTGGCCACAGCTCCACAAAAGTCTTCTTTTTTTCAAAAACCTCCTCTAAAGTCCTTTGTAATCCTCAAAAATGTTGAAATCTTTTCTCCTCTTTTTTATTTTTTCATTTTTTGATGGTAGCATAATATTAAAAATTCCTGGTCTGCAAAACTGGTTAATATCTAAAATGATCTTTGGGTTGTAAAAAATCAACTTTAGCAAATTTATCCAAATGCCAAAAGTCTGAAAACATGGCGTTAAACCTATAAAAAAAAAAATCTCTCAAATACTCTATTTTTATTCCAAATTTTTTAGTTTTGCGGAAAGAATATTATAAATTAAATCCTCTAAAATCCTCCAGTACCCTCTTTTTCTTATGATAAATAGTAACCTATAGCATAAAGTTGAGTTATCAGCAAATAGAGCCACTTTAGATATGTTGTTAGGAAGATCATTAATGTAAATAAAAAATAATACATGACCAAGTATAGTACCATGTAGTACTCCAAAAAATAGTGGAAATGAAGAAGGGTATTGGTATTAAAGCCTTAAATACAGCGGCTAGAAAGAAATGATTTGATTAACTCAAAAAATGCATTTGCAAATCAGCCATAGAGCAATAAGATCTAAATCTGTGTTGATCGTTGGAGAGTAAGTTTTTAGAATCATTTATTAGAAATGTGTCTGATCTTTTCTCAACTAAAAGCCCCATGGCAGGGGTTTTTAGTTGAGAAAAAAGTCAATATATTTCTCCCAACCTTTGCATAGAAAAGTGAATCCTACAAGGCAGCAGGACATGTTACCAGTTGCAGGGTGATCATAATAATCATGAACCTAACCTGACCTGGAGTCATTTAGCAAACTTATTTCTGTATGCAGTACTTTAAAACGTTAGCTTATGTTATATAGTTGTAGTTAATAGTTGGAAACTGAGCTAACACAGCTAATATGTGTGAATAATCACAGTTGCAGAGGTTCAGAATGAACACAAACATACAAATAGCAACAGGTGAGTGAACACCACACCAGAGGTTCAGACAGAACACAAACAGATTTATATTATATTACGGGTGAGCTAACACAGTAACTAAGGCACTTCAATTATTTAATAGACAAAAATAGATACCACTATAGACATGGTAATTATTAGATAGTATTGATAACAGTTCATTTCTTCTAGGCTTTGCTTATAAAAGGAATCCTACAAAACAGCAGGACATATGTCAGGTGGCTTTTAACTGGATTTCATGTTACCAGTTGTAATATGTTTCAATCAAGATGATCATATACCTGATGTGACAAAATCTTAGAAAAGACTAGGTGTTTTAGTTTAGAAAAGTTTAGGTATTTAAAAAAATATTATTTTAAAATTTTGTTTTATACTTTTATGTTTATGTTAAAATTTTATTTAATAATTTTATTTTAATAGTTAATAAAATAAAAATATTTAAAATTTATTTGTATATATTATTTTAATTTTAGAATGATCCAAGACTAACTCAATCAGTAAGAGTGTTTATTTTTCATTGATGTATGAATAAGTAAATTTCTTTTTTAGTTGAACTGATATATGAATGACTCCATATGTTTTCAATTACTTGTTAGTCTTCAATTTGTCATTAGTTTCTATTATTATTTTACTGATGGTGTATACAATTATTATTTAGTTTCTATTGTTATTCTACTATTGATGTATACAATTATTATTTAGTTTCTATTGTTATTTTACTGTTGGTGTATACAATTATACAAAATATTAAAATTTTTATTATAGTTTACAAAGTCAAAAAATATATGTAAATTTATATTTTATCAACTTGAGTTGCTTCAATCAGTTTTAATACAGCGATTTGAATATAGTGAATATCTTAAGCAGCTTGGTTTAAACCAAGCATTATTGGTATTAAATAATTTGATAGCAGTTTATTATCCTCTTTAATTAAGATATATTGTTAAGAATTTGATTACCTAATATAAAAAACTGATTACCTAACATAAAAAGTTTCACTTTTCATAAAATTTGGTTTGGTAATCAAATTTCAAAAAGAGTTTTCATCATATGGGTGAAAAAGGTGAGGATTTAATGATTTTCTGCTGTACTTGCAAAGATATATAAAATTATTGTTAATTGTTTTAAAAAAAAATGCTTGTAACAAATGTTTTTCATTTTAAAGAAACTAATGCTCTTATTAGATTGACAAACATGAACCATAATAAAAATGAATAAAAATGATTTACAATATTATAGCATACTCTTCCAAAGTGAAATTAGTTTTACCAAGAGTGTTAAAAAAGATACTTTTTATTATAATAACATTGAAAAAACAAGTCTCCAATGTTTAAACATTGGAGAGGCTTTTATAATTACACGAAGATAATGACTTTAGTAAAAAAAGGTAAAATCATTCAATTAAGTTGTTCGTAACCCAAATGTTGCAATGCAAAAATGTTTCAGACATATTGGAGGTCATAAATATACAACTTTCATTAATTGATGTATTCTCCAGTTTTCATTGATTTTTTAATTGATGAAATTTAGAAACAAACTTGATAATCATGATTTATATTGTAAAATTTTAAATTTTTGTTTCTTTGAGATAAATGTTTTTCAGATGTTTTTTATTGAAAACATGGTATATTAGATTTGAATACATTATTTTCATAGTAAGAATACCTTATCTAATGATAAGGAGAAGATCTCTGAAAGCATTTTTCTTTTTAACATTTTTTAACATTTTTTTAACAATACTAAAAAAACTTTTTTAATTCTGCTTTAATGTATTCTATTAGCTATTTTAGCTTCTTTAAAAGCATCATCTTTAAAATCTGTTTTTTGAAATCTGATATTCTGTGAGATTAGCGAGGCCTAATCATTATCCTTATAAAAAACATTGTTCATATTTAAATATTTACAAATAAACTTTTTAGCCCCTATGTAATAAAATAAAGCTAATTAATAAATTGAAATATTTCATGATCAGAGGTAATCCACTAATATGAGGTGGTAGTCTTTCTATCAAAGAACATAAATATTGTACATAACTTCATTGTAAAAGACCATCAAAATAAGTGCGATTGAAAAAAAAAATAGATTGAAATGTTGATAATGCTCTAGTGCTAGCAAAACAAAGAGAAACTGTCAATAATGACACATGACAAAAACTAAAAAAAAGTTGTTGAAATCGTCAAAATAACATTGATGGTGGTTATAACTGAAATGAAAACAAAAAAACTAAATCATAAAACTAACCAACAAGACGATAACAACAATAGCAGGCAGTTATTCTTATATTGATATGGCAATGCAATACATGTATGTTAACCTAGCAGCAACTGAAATCTTATGAAGTAGTGGTAGATCTTAAATGAAGTAATGGTAATGAAGTAATGGTTATGAAGTCGTGGTTATGAAGTCGTGGTAATGAAGTAGTGGTAATGAAGTAGTAGTAATGAAGTAGTGGTTATGAAGTAGTGGTTATGAAGTAGTGGTAATGAAGTAGTGGTAATGAAGTAGTGGTAATGAAGTAGTGGTAATGAAGTAGTGGTTATGAAGTAGTGGTAATGAAGTAATGGTTATGAAGTAGTGGTAATGAAGTAGTGGTAATTAAGTAGTCGTAATGAAGTAGTGGTAATAAAGTAGTGGTAATGAAGTAGTGGTAATGAAGTAGTCGTAATGAAGTAGTGGTAATGAAGTAGTGGTAATGAAGTAATGGTAATGAAGTAGTGGTAATGAAGTAGTGGTAATGAAGTAGTGGTAATGAAGTACTGGTAATGAAGTAGTGGTAATGAAGTCACACAACACATCGCTCTGACATAAGCTACTTTCACAAGGAGAAAGTTTTTAGGGGAGCATACAATAAAGAAGATTGAACAGCAGCAGAGCAAGAAGCTTTCAACAAATTATACAACAAAAAGAAGAAAAAGAATGAGTATCTTGTAAAAAGTAACCTGAATGAGCTCTTTGGTTGGATCACTGCCGCATCTGTTTGCTGCATTGTACACCCCAATCCAACAATAACAGAGATGGGTTTGGATTAGCAAAACGATCTAATCAAATCAAATCAAAGAATTATATCACAGGCTTGGTCGGGAAGCGGAAGCGATCGCTCTTGAATACTGACCATGGAAATTATATTTATTTGCGAAAAACTGTCCAGGTTTTTTAGTCGTTTTGAGAACATTAAGTCTATGTACGAAACAAAATATTTTTGTTTTACGGACATACATGGAAACATAAAAAAATTTGAATGTTCTCAAAACATCTTTGTGCGAAAGAATAAAAAGAATGTTTGCGAACTCTAAAAACCTGCCAAATTAACAAACAAACTAATTCTATTGGTTGAAAAAATACGCTGATTAAGCGAAATTAAGTTCTAGAGTATTCTATTGACATTTTTTAGAAATTTTATTATTTACGATTTGTTACGTTTTGAGATTTCTACCATTGTTTTAAGAATCTATATTATTTGTTTACGAAAATAAATGCTTTAAATATATATTAATTAAATTATTAAAATTTTTAAAGTTTATTTTAAATTATAGATTTTATTAGTTATATTCTTATTTTTTATTTTAAAAGAGGTTGTATTCTTTATGTAAATGTAATTTTGTGTATTTATTTTTTATCGTAATGTATCTTTTAAAGCAATTTTTATGACTCAAACAAAGACTTACAAAAAAAATTGTGTTTTCAATGAAATTATAATCGTTAAAGTTAATAAAACTAATTATGTAATAAACATATATAAAAGTTTCTGATTACTAAACACAAACAACGCATACAAAGTAACTCGCGGATGAACAAGCACCGCGCCTGTGTTCACGACAGAACGCAAATATACATAGCAAATAATTATAAAGAAAAGTTTATAATATATAAATAAAAAATATATAAAGAAAAGTTTCTAGATATTGGTTTACTAACTCTAATTATTTTCGTTTAAGTTGCCATTCTTAAAACTCGTTATACTTTTTTCTGTTTTAAATACTAATTAAAATTAAAACTAAATATTATCAGCGACATTGTGAAGCAGTTTTGCTTGCTTGTCATAAAGTATTTTTAACCTTTTTAGTTGATTTCTATCTTGATAATTTAATTTCTATAGTAATTCAATGATTTAATTATTTCATTTGTTTATCTTGCTAAGAAGAATCGCTTCAAATATTTTAAACTTTTCAAACTACGCGAGTACATAAAATAGGTATTAAAAAAATTAACTTTTTTATTTGTAAAATAATTTAGCTTAAATAAAACTAAAACTTGCAAACTTTGTTAAATAAAGAATATTTGTTTCCCTTTTTAAACAATCGTAAGTTGTTACTTTATATAAAAAACAGCGATGTTTCGAAAATATTTGTTCTAAATGTAATTTATTTTTTTTCACGTTTAAAGATATTTTATATGCCTAATTTTTTTTTTTTGTAATTGTCTCTCATCGGTCCAAATAATCTTCGTCGCATTTTTTTTTGCTTTTTAAAATGTTCTCAAAACGACTAAAAAATCTGGCCAGCTTTTCACAACTAAATATTATTTATGTGGTCAGCAATCGAGAGCGATCGCTCTTGCTTCCCGACCAAGCCTGATATCAGTCATTGACTCTCTACCACAACTAATCTCAACACCACTACACAGTGGGCTAAACAGTGGACATTGCTCAAAAATCAATGTTACCAAAATAAATTAAAGTTAGTTGTTATTGATAGTCAAATAAATTTTTAGTTCATTAAAAAAAAAGTTATTTCAAAAACATGATTTGTTCAGGAAATATACTAGTTTGAATAATGTAAATTCGCTGCAAAAGGTATGTAATAGGTATGATGCATAAAAGTCATTTTTGGCATTATATAAGAAAAAATGTCACTATATAAGCAGTGCACTATATAACATGTGATAATTGTATGCAGAAACAATCTTAGACTGCAATTTATGAAATGTTAACTTCATAGATTATTGCACAAAATATTTCTAATGAAACAACTAAAATTTAGCAAAATTTTAGTGTTTTTAACTAATTTTTTTATTAGAAAAATATTTTATCTCAATAAGTGCTAAGTTGGCACTAGTAAATCCATATAGTTTTAAACTCCTATAACAAAGAGGGGTAAGATGCTTTTTAACTAAATTGTGCCAACTTTGCACTTTTAAGCAAAATAGTAAAATAATGACCCTACCTCATATACATACTTCATATACAAACTAAAAAAAAAAACTTCCCAACTGCTGGTTTTAATATATTGCCTAGTTGGAAACATCTCAGAAGAAAACAATCTGAAGTAACACTAACTAATATGATTATCTTGAACTTTATTTTTGTGTTTACTTCAGTCTATTTCAGGCTATTAAACTGACAGCGTAAAGGATATTGGAGAACATTTTTTTAGATATAAACACTTAAAATATACTAATGAAAATAAAGTTTGGATTTGATGGTAGTGGAAGCTGTGCAAAATTTAATTTAAAAAATAATGTTAACTCTAGCAATATAATACTGACAATGTTTTGTCCA